CTATCCTTTCTGAGAAAGATTTGTAAAACATTGTAAAGTATACCATTTGGAGCCTAAAGGGTTATAAATAATATGAGTTACATGGATCAATCCAGAGGTTTATTTTGTATCTGCCGTTATAAGACACAATTACTAGGACTGCCAGTTAGGCAGGCAGGAACATGTGGAGGGTTATTCACCAAAGTGAGAACATAAACTGAATTTCAAACATAAGGCCAAAATAGTCAAATTGGAAAAAGTCAGCTATGCTTCCAGTTCAGCTACTTTGGCCTAATATGTTAAATTCATTATTAATTCCCACTTTAGTAAATATCTGTTGGTTTATATCAGTTTTGTCCATAATGTGTGTGCACTCTGCCTGTACCGTTGGGTAGACTCTCTCTCAATGTGCAGCTAGGGCTGGTGCGAGACTATTTTGTGCCCTAGGCAAAACCAGCAGATTGCACCCCACCCAAAACAAAAATGTGTCAAATATGTGTTTCTTTCTTCCCCAACTTCTTTCTGTGGTTCTTTTTGCCCTTCCCCAGCCCACCTCTCTGTGACTATTTCCTCTAGCACCTTTGTGGCTATTTTCTCCCCCTCCTAAGCCCACTGTGTGTCTCAATCTCCCACAGACCCTTTATGGATCTCTTTATCCACACCAGCCACTTTGTTTGGCTCTTTGTCCCCCATCCACTTTGTGTGTCTCTTTATACCCCCAGCACCTTTGTGGGTCTCTTTCTTTTCCCCAGCACCTCTGTGTGCCTCTTGCCCCAACCCAACTTTGTGCCTCTTTCTCGCCCAACCCAACTTTGTGTTTCTTTATCCCCCCAACCCTCTCTGTGTCTCTTTATCCCCCCGCCCCTCTCTGTGTCTCTTTATCCCCCAGCCCCTCTGTGTGTCTCTTTATCCCCCAGCCCCTCTGTTTGTCTCTTTATCCCCCCGCCCCTCTGTGTGTCTCTTTATCCCCTCGCCTCTCTGTTTGTCTCTTTTATCCCCAGCTCCCTCTGTTTGTCTCTTTATTCCCCAGCCCTCTGTTTGTCTCTTTTATCCCCAGCTCCCTCTGTGTGTCTCTTTTTATCCCACCGCTTCCTCTGTGTGTCTCTTTTATCCCCCCTCACTTCTGTTTGTCTCTTTTTATCCCCATCCCTCTGTGTGTGTCTCTTTTATCCCACCGCTTCTCTGTGTGTCTCTTTATCCCACCGCCCCTCTGTGTGTCTCTTTATCCCCCAGCCCCTCTGTGTGTCTCTTTATCCCACCGCCCCTCTGTGTGTCTCTTTATCCCACCGCCCCTCTGTGTGTCTCTTTATCCCCCAGCCCCTCTGTGTGTCTCTTTGTCTCAAAAGATCCTCTACCATGGTTCATGGCTTGGCCACGTTACATGCAGTGACTGGCAGGACATCGCATGGGTGCCTACTTCATCTAGCAGTTGCGTCGGCCCTGTGTGCAGCTGAGCCAGCAGAAAAACACAGTCCACATCTCTAAACAACGTGCAGCGCTGTGTATAAACTAAGAGAATGCATGGTATGACTTAACAGTTAAACGTGCAAATACAATCATCTTATGTGATGATTAGAACTACAGGTGGGGGATAAACTGTTTATCCCAAAAACAGTTGCAGGATAGAGGCTTATGGGATAAGATCAGTCCACATAGATCAGAATGAGGCTCTGATTGGAACATCTCATCCTGGTGTAGAAGCGGTCTGCGTGTAACTGCAGACTGGTACACTAAGCAAGTGCATCAAGGAACACTTTAAATACAAGTCATTTTTAACATTTGAATGTAGTTGTTTTGCAATATGTTTGTAGATATAATGTCAGTTTTTAACGTAAAAATCTCTTAATATAAAATAGTGACCTGAAATCAAAACTTGAAATACGCATCCCTTAATCTATTAATCAGCACCCCTTATAGAATATACATGCCAAATTAAACGCTGTGATTTCGTACATGTCCCCTGCAGTGCCCTCCGAAATATTGGCTTGAAGATACCTTTTGCTCCTTTGTCAAGGTAACGTCTTTCACTCCTATATGGACATCCAGGTCCTCAATGGGAAGTTTTCTCGCTTTGGCAGACAGCAGGAAGCATTCTGGACACTGGCAGTTATCCCTCAGCCACACATATGGATAGATGCTGTGACCTCCCTCGTCCCAATGTATGCAAACAAAGCGCTCAGCATCCAAAGCTTGAACATTCCGAATCATCATCACCGAGTGATCTGTCTGATCATCAACGTCCCTTCCTGCCCTGTGCTGCCAGCGTGTGAACGTAAGCGACGATCCTGCATTTAAATGTGCGGTCCTTTGAACCTTCAGTGATGCGTGTGCCACACAGCTGTGGACTTTGCTCTTCAATAAATGTTTAGCTACAGTGGCCCACATACTGAGTGTTCAGATTTCTCTTTAAATATGCTGTTAATTCCGCTGTAATCCCTGAAATGAAAATAATAAGAACATGTTTACACTTTAAAAAACACACTTTGTAGCATCACTGCACCTTCTTAAAGGGGCACTCCGGACTCCTAAAGAACTTTAGTTTGCTGAAATGCTTAATTTGTGAAGAGTATGTTATATGTTTTTATGCAGATAGAAATTGGCACTTTTATAAATTAACCTTATTACGCCGCACTGGCAGTTAATCTGACAACCGGTCTTGTTACTTGATGGCTGTTTAACTCAATTGTACAAAACTCAAGAGGCAGCAATCTGGTAACAGATATATAGCAACAGCGTGTCTATTTTGCCTACATTTTGCCATTTGAATCCTTAAGGGACAGGAAAGTCACCCAAATCACTCTATTTCAGTGAAGTGGTCTTTGTTCAGTGGACCTTACCTTTTAACCTTGGTAGTGACTGTCTTCCTGAGAACCACTAGAGGCGCTTCTGCTGCACTAAGTAAAATTCGGTCACATACAATGCTACAATGCTTTCCCATTGGGAAGCTTGGATGAGTGCACGGTGCTATCCACACATGCACTTCAGGTCCCTAATGCTCCTCTATGAGAAGCATTGCATTGGACTATTGTCGCAAGAGATTATGCTTCCTCGATGAGGTCATGGGAGGCGCAGAGGTGAGCAGGGAGCATCGGCGCTGCAAAAAGGCAAGAACAACTTTTATTTTAATTATTTTATTGCAACTATGGGGGTGGAACCTACATGTAACTAAGGACAGGTTTAGTATTCCTAGGGTTATAGTGTCTCTTTATTTGCTACAATTCTGAGTTTTGCGAAAACATTTTTTTAGATGCAATAACACCAGCAAAAATGTTTTGTACAAAGTATCTGAAAACCTCATAGGAGTCATTTCACTAGTACAATGTGTCAGTCCTTCTGGCCTTTTGCTCAATAAAAGTGTGGGGTGGGGGGAGGGCTCCTCAGTGCTATCAGTATCTGGATGAGTATCCATCTTTGGAATGTTTGTTTACATTGTAGTGTGTGACTGCAACATTGTCACATATCATCAGGAATACATTGTGTGCATTGCTATTAGGCAGCTCACAGTCAGCCTTGATACAAATAACCTGCTTATTAAAACCCTGGTTATACAGAACAACTGAATCTGGTTATAGGAGTTCTCACAATGTGCTACAGTATTTACCTTCCGCTCTGTTTCTCCTCCCCCGGTCTGTGTGTTCCTGTCTGACTCCTGATTTTCCAGTCGTGCAGCACTGATACATGTATCCACAAAGACCCTTCCCTGTGCTATTAGAAATGTGACACCCAGGTCTCCTTAGTGACTGAGCCTGTGTAACTAACTAATCTTTCCCCTCCTCCCACACTCTTAAATTGGACTCTGCAGCCATAGTAGCAAAGGTAAATGTGCCATTTATTTGTTGTACAAGGTTCTCAGATCCCCAGTGTTTCCTTGGATACACACAATTTATTCTTGTTGATGTGCACCACATGAAAAGTGCTGCCCTGCAATATGCACATTGTGTATTCTGAATCATTCCTCACTGATTAATAAATATATTTCCTGGTTGTAGCACTTTGATTCTACATACTGCAGGAGAGTACTTCCCACGTACTGCCCATCCATATGGTGACTTGTACAGCAGCTTTATTGGAATTACAGGAAAATGAAGCAATGTTTCGATCTCCACCGAGGTCTGCATGGTATCAGTGTGCACACTCCTTCCTCCATTTACATCCACATGTATAAGTGGTATGTGTCCTGGAAAACATGATGGATCCGGCACACATATTTATTTAACTTTTCTTTATGGTACGGCAAAAAAGCTGTTATGTTGTTTCTGCAAATCCCTGACACACTTCAACTTGCTGACGTATTTATTTATTTATTTATTTTATTTGTTTATTTATAAAATATTTTACCAGAAAAGAAACATTGAGATTTCTCTTGTTTTCAACTATGTCCTGGGTCCACAAAACATTGCATTGATACAATAGGGTACAATAAAATACAAAAACAATATTAATACACAATAAATACAAAATTTAACATAGAACAGGTAGGAAATATATAATAAACCATGACAGGTGCAATCTGTTCTGAGGTATGTAGAGAGGGATCTCTTAAAGGATTTTAGGTTTGGGGAAGATTTGAAAGTGTGCAGAGGAGTGTTTAGAGATACAGTGCCTTGCAAAGTATTCACCCTCTTGACTTTTTACCTATTTTATACATTACAGCCTTTAAGTTATTTTTATTTTATTTTATTACCTGAATTTTATGATGGATCAGAACAAGTCTAAAGTTGGTGAAGTTAATGAGAAAATATATACAAAAACTAAGAAATAGAAAAGAAAAATGTGCGTATGTTTCACCCCTTTGTTATGAAGCCCATAAAAAGCTGGTTGCACCAATTACCTTCAGAAGTCACATAATTAGGAATTATGTCCACCTGTATGCAAATATAGTGTCACATGCACACCTTTTTTGAAAGGCCCCAGGCTGCACACCTAAGCAAGAGGCACCACTAACCAAACACTGCCATGAAGAACAAGGAACTCTCCCAACAAGTAAGGGACAATGTTGTTGAGAAGTACAAGTCAGGGTTAGGTTATAAAAAAATATCCAAATCTTTGATGATCCCCAGGAGCAGCATCAAATCTATCATAACCAAATGGAAAGAACATGGCACAACAGCAAACCTGCCAAGAGACGGCCACCCACCAAAACTCATGGACCGGGCAAGGAGGGCATTAGTCAGAGAGGCAGCACAGAGACCTAAGGTAACCCTGGAGGAGCTGCAGTGTTCCACATCAGAGACTGGAGTATCTGTACATGTGTGTATCAATCCAATAGACAATTTGTGGTAAGACTTAATGATTGCTGTTCACAAGCACAAACCATCCAACTTGAAGGAGCTGGAACAGTTTTGCAAGGAGGAATGGGCAAAAATCCCAGTGGTAAGATGTGGCAAGCTCATAGACACTTATCCAAAGCGACTTGGAGCTGTGATTGTCGCAAAAGGTGGTTCTATTGACTTTACGGGGGTGAAAAGTTATGCACATTGACTTTTAGAGACATCCCACTAGGTGCACTATGTGGAGGAGGAGGGTTTAGAGACATTCCTCTGGGTGCACTGGTGGAGGAGGAGTGTTTAGAGATATTCCACTGTGTGGAGGGGGCAGGGATGACATTCTCCAGGCCAGGACATTCCGGTGGCTGCAGTGTTTGGATTGAGCCTGGGTATGATAATTCTTCACTTTCCTTCTCTTTGTCTCCACAGTGGAGAGTGCCGTAAACAGTCAATTCACGTTGATGCGCATATGAACAATGTCAATAAAGTTTTCCATTACCATGCCAACATGTTGTTAGCAGTGATTTGGCCTATATCTTTGATATATGGATTTTGTGAGCCCCACAGTCACATGACATTCACGTGGTTCATCTTTCCCCTTGTTGGGTCATATACTTATGAGGATCAAGTAAGGTGTCCTTTTCTTTCTTCAGAGTCACGTGATTGCAATCCCTTCCTGGTGGCCACGTTATTATTGGAAAGCAGTGACTTCGGCTCCAAAGAGGACAAGATGGAAGTAACACTCTCCTTTACCTGCCCTCTGCGATGGTGACAGGAATGGACTGGAATAAGGCCACTACAGTGGCATGTACAGGTTATGCTGTGTTCCTTTAAGTAATCAAACTACATTTTGAATTGACCTTAAACCTAATCTAATTTACAAGAACTTAACTTACAATTTAATTTACAAGAATATATTCAGAAATGATTTCTAGTTTAAAGGACAAGAGTGTACACATAATATAACTCGCACCATGTCACATAGATGCTCTGTTACTGGATTTGCTACATTAAATGTTAATATATGTTTTCAGAAATGACATATTTGAACCAAACAAGTACCCAATGAGCTGAATGCTTCCATTCTGTAGCTTTTCAACGCCTTCTGTATTTACGATAATTTTGTTGTGGAAAATTCTGTTACAGGTCAAAGTTCAGATTGCTTAGCTACAGGAGAAAATGTCTCATTTGGAGTCCTGAGAACTAACAGTATCCCATTATCATAGGTACAATCCTTCTTTTGAAAATTGGGTTCAGCAAGGTGGTGTTTTCTTAAGTTGGTGAGCAGAGTTACTGCATGTGCCAATATAATTAGCATTTTGCATCTTTCTTGATACCAGGTTCTACCCTAAAGTCATGCCTGCTGCTACAGTCTATGTCAGGGCTCCACATTTCAAGTCCTACGCTACTAGCCAGACCTGAAAATTACTTGTCACTGTTATATCTGCTATGTCTCAAAAGCATGGAGCTGAAATTCATAGCACATATAAACAGATTGCAAGCTTAGTAGTCGAGTAACTGAGATTTCAGCTTGTGATACAAGTATTTTGAATTAACACAATGTAAATGGCTCATATAGCCCCATTAAAAAAGAGCTGTAAGGAGCCTGACTGCTGAGCAGACCAGACGTGCTCAGCAAGAGCTCCCACGTCTGACAACAGATTTTGGGGTTAATACCCCTAATACCTGCGTTTTACAGACACCAAACTACAATATTCATGCTTGAGGACCACTGCAGCACACAGTGATACCCGACATGAGCTACCCCGAATCCGTGCAGTCCAGACAGAGGCTTGCGGCCCACGCACACATGAACCGGGGTGAGGCAGACACTCTCCTGGTTCCTTAGCCTTGCTGAGACTGCTGATTTGGACCGGCAGGGGTTATCCCGGTCTCCACTGCTCGGCTCCACGCATCCTGCTTACCGCACACAGATACTGCCGGGGATCAGGCCATGAGGCTACTTATCAAAATGGAGGACAGGCCTCCTTATCTTAAGCTCCGGAAGCAGCATGAAGCGCAAGATGGGTGCTCGGCACTGGACCAAACGCTGAAGTGTCTGTAAGCAATCTCCACCCATTACTGGGTGCGACTAAAGCCCGAAGCACCGTGTCAACAGAGCACCGGGAATATGGTCGGAAGAGGGGCCGAGAAAGGGTCCGTAAGCCACCCTCCGGCACAACTACATACCAAGCTGATAAGTCTCAAGCATTGAGCCCACCAGGGCCAAAAGCCACCAGGGATATTCCCTCCACACATTACCCACGGAGGCAAAAGATCTGACCCCGCAGGCAGCATCTGTCCCAGCAAACCCTGGGGCTCCAACCTCTGGATCCAGGAGCGTGTGGGAAGGACCTCTCCTCCAAGAGAGTATAGCTGTGTCTCTCCTCCAAAAGAGTATAGCTGCATAGCTGAAGAGAGAGCTCTTACAAGAGCTAGCAGTGAAGCTAAGGAACTATGAAAAGCATAGCAATCCCTGTAGTGATGATTATTATTATTATTATTATTATTATTATTATTATGATATTTATAGAGCACCGTCAAATTCCGCAGCACTTTACAATGTGTGGACGAACAGACATGTAGTTGTAACCAGACAAGTTGGACACACAGGAACAGAGGGGTTGAGGGCCCTGCTCAATGAGCTTACATGCTAGAGAGAGTGGGGTAAAACGACACAAAAAGGTAAGGATAGTATTAGACTAGTGACAGTTGCAGAAGAGGAATCAGTCAGGAGCTATTAACAGTTTAATTCATACGCTTTTATGAAGAAGTGGATTTTTAATGATTTTTTTGAAGGAGTGGAGACTGGGTGAGCATCTAACGGAGGAGGGAAGCGAGTTCCACAGGAACGGTGCAGCCCTCGAGAAATCTTGAAGGCGAGCATCAGAGGTTGGGAGTACGAGCAGAAGATAGACGTAAGCCTTCAGCAGATCGTAAGGGCCTAGACGGGACATACTTGTGTATAAGGTGGGAGCAGCATTATGTAGAGGCTTGGGGACCCCTAGTCACCTTTGATGGGGGGGGTTGTGAATTTGACTTAGGGCCCCCACCCGCCGCCCAGGGGTGGGGGCTGGGGAGGGAGGTCAGTAGGTCCCCTCCCTCATTATCTTTAGGTCCCCCCCCATTATCTTTATGGTGCCCACCCAGGGGTGGGCGCTGGAGGGGGGGTGGACAGTAGGTTCCCCCCGTCATTATGATTTGGCCCCCACCCCCCGGGGGTGGAGGACAGTAGGTCCCCCCCCTCATTATCTTTATGGCCCCCACCCGCCGCCCAGGGGAGGACAATAGGTCTCCCCCCTTATTTTACTTTAGGACCCCCACCCGTCTTTAGGGGTGGGGGCCAATAGTTTTTTTTGTTTTTTTTACAGTGAGCAGCTGTTTACTAGACTTGCCCCTACTCGCGGTATAGCGAGTAGGGGCAGCATTTACTTATACTAAGTAATCTTTACTTAGTATTAGTAAATGTGTCTGAAAGACCAATTTAGGTCTTTCAGCCTTTTAGTAGATAACTCCCTGATACCGTGGGAATTAGGGCGTTATCTACTAAGTGGCTGCAAGATGCAGCCACAGCAAGAATAGGATCGGAGTTTCATTCATTCGAATGAAATTGCGATCCGAACAAAATGCTGAATTGAGTTCTAAAAGAAACGAACATACTGTTCCTATTCAGTTAGAACGCAACTCGGCAGTTTTGTGTAAAATGACAGGAAGCATCGCGGGAACACAGAGGGAAGGTAAGAATTATGGGAAAATTGCTCCGACCAGCGGAAATGAAGCACACTTTGCTCCTCCGCTGGTCAGAGCTGGTCAAGCGGAGGAATCCTCCATAAGGCAAAGAGTCCCTACTTTGTCTTATGATTTTAAAGAAGACAGGAAGAAAAGAAGAACAGATCCTGAGAGAGGGGGAGAAGAGGAAGAGATTGAGGAAAGGTAAGTTTGGCATGACAGTGCCGCTTTAAATTGACTCTAGTGGCAATCTTTCCGACAGACTCTAGAGTTGTTTACGTCATAAGTAGAACTCAGTTGCTCAATCAGATAGATTTGCCATGGGGAAACATTGGATTGACTGAGATCATCAATCCTGTTAATCCCAGCCAAGGAGGCTGAGCTTCTGCCCGGAGACCAGCGTGCCGCGGGATATAAGGTGAGCAAATCTTACCTTACAGGGTGACACCTATATAGGTAGGGGTGACACAATAGTTTTAGGAATACATACTTATATAGTGTTCTAAAAAGACTTGGAGTGAACTGAAAACGTGTTTGTGTGTATATTTATTAAAATGTATAAAAGTGCCAGGAAAACTATTCAGCAATTCCTAGATTTTACTATTAACATGACGTAAAGTCATGATTTTATTAAAGACACGGAGGCTCCTATTATGCTTCTCTTTCTTTAATTCTCCCTCAGCAGCGAAGAGAGATATATGCAAATGAGAGAAAAAATAACAATAACATTAGCATATGGAACAGTGCTCATAGGTATCCACCCCCTTAGTATATAAGGTGTAGCACTCCATGCTTCTTCCTCTTTCTTCCGTGATCCGAAGACCAGATCCATAACCGAACTGTAACTTGGCCCGAACAGGAACAGTGGGCGAAAGGTAATGTCCAATCCTTGAGGTTAGACTGTAACGCTTTGTAACGGAAAATCACCACTTTGACAGTATGATTCAGGCTAAAAGAGAGGAGAAAATATGGTAATATATGGTCGGCAACTGGTTGCATCATGTAACTTCATGTAGGTAAAAACTAAGTCGTATAACGTAGTAGTCATGTCGACATATCAAAAGGTAATATAAGATTATGTCTACTATATCACAAAGTCACCTACCTGAGAGACGTATGAGCGCACCTACAGGTATCTACATTGTAGGAGTCCACCTGATCTGTGGTTGGTATCCGTGAGAAAAAACCAATCCCTCCACCCAGGGAGGGTGGGAGGGAATAATACTCGCCTCCGTGTCTTTAATAAAATCATGACTTTACGTCATGTTAATAGTAAAATCTAGGAATTTTATTAAAGACACGGAGGCTCCTATTATGCTCTTTCAAAGCTGAGCAATGACTCTTTCCGAAAAATGTTGGATTGGTTTAAAATAGAAATTCCGGAATGTGGATTCCGTAGACCAGTCTGCGGCCTTAAGGATGTCTTCTAACCGGCACCCTACCGTCGAAGCTTTAGAAGCCATAGCGCCTCTGACCGAATGGGCCGAAAAAATTGTAACGTCTATCCCGGCCGAGGCCAATAACCATTTGGCCCAACGGGCGAGAGTAGGTGTGGACACTGGTAGATGCGGTTTCTTTAGTGAAATGAACAACGGGCCGAAGTTTGACGGTCTTAGGGAAGAAGTACGGGTTTCGTATTCTTTTAGGCACAGAATTGGGCATAGCTTTGGTTGGTGCGGGAGGTGTGGATAGAAAACTTGTTTAGTCGCCGATTTAGTTCTTCTTGAAATATCGAAAGACACCCCTTCTGGAGTGAATGATCGGGCTAGCCAGTCCAAAGCCCTTACATCTGTAGTTTAGCGGACAACTGTTTGATTGACAGTGCCGCGTTGTCGGGCCAGTCTTCCAGGAATTTGAACACTATGTTGACATCCCAAAAGGATCCGTACCTGGGTTTAGGTGGCCGTGAAAAACGTATACCCTTGAGTAAGCGACATATCAGGGGGTTCTGACCGAGAGGGATCCCGTCCACCGTATCATGGCCTGCTGAGATAGCAGACCTGTAGATGTTGACTGTACGGAATGCCTTGCCCGATTCGAACAATTGAGTGAGGAAGTCCAGTACCGTCTTTACAGAAGCTGATATGGGATCCACTGATCTTTCCAGGCACCAATCGGACCAAGTTCTCCATGCCGTAGCATATGCGCGCCGTGTTCCCGGTGCCCAGGCGTTCGCCAAGAGTCGGGTAGTTGTTCCCGAAACTTCCGCGATTTCCCAGGGTCCCCGGAAAGGAGCCATGCCATGAGTCGGAGGATTCCCCGTTCTATCAAGTCGTGATTCTCCCCATCCGGGTTGGTTAACAGGGACGTTTGATCCGGTAGCAACCGTGGGAAGTCGATCGCCATTTCCAGAAGGTGAGGGAACCAGGGTTGGCATCTCCAGCACGGTGTTATCAAGACCAACGAGGTTCTGTAGCGTCGAATGTATGTTAGAGTCCGAGCGATCAGGTTGAACGGGGGAAAGGCGTATGCTCGTCCCCCGGTCCAGTCCTGAAGGAAGGCATCTGTCGCCAAGGCTTCCGGGTCCGGTCGCCAGCTGAAAAATTGAGGAAGTTGAGTGTTCAGTCTGGACGCAAAGAGGTCCACACTCAAGGGACCCCATAGTCGAGCTATCCTGGCGAAGACTTTCGGTTGAAGCTTCCAGTCTCCTAAATCCCTCAGATATCGGGAGTTCCAGTCTGCGGTGTAATTGTCCAGGCCTGGTATGTGTTCCGCGGTCACCGACACATTGTTTTGTAAACAGTAATGCCAGAAGTCTCGAGCTAAAACCGCTAGGATGCGTGACTTGGTACCTCCAAGATGATTTATGTACCTGACTGCCGAGATGTTGTCTAACTTGAGGAGGATCGAGCATGAGACGCCCCTGGGTGTGAGGCTGCGAATGGCAAATGAGGCCGCCAGTAGTTCCAGTGAGTTTATGTGCAGGAATGATTCGTTTACTGACCACCTGCCTCCTGTGGATATGGAGCCGCAGCGCGCGCCCCAGCCATGTAAGCTTGCATCCGACTCGATTATCATGTCTGGAGTGGAACCGAAGATCGCCCGTCCATTCCACGCTTCCATGTGGGTTAGCCACCAGTCCAGTTCCTCCCTGGATTCTTCGTCCAGCGTGATGTTGGATTCGTACGACTGACCCTTCCTTAGGCAGGAAGCTTTTAGGCGTTGTAGCGCCCGATAGTGGAGCGGTCCCGGGAAGATCGCCTGTATAGAGGCCGCTAGTAAGCCGATTACCCGAGCCAGTTGTCTTAGAGAAATGTCCGAACGGTTCATTATCCTCCTGATCTCCTTCTTGATGTTGGACATCTTGTCTGAAGGGAGGCACAGGATTTGTTGTACAGAATCGACTCGGAATCCTAGGAATTCCATCTGTTGAGAAGGTTGTAATACCGATTTCTCCCAGTTCACTAGGAAACCGAGGTTCTGCAGGAGGTGAAGGGTCCACGACAGGTGAGACAGCAGAAGGGATCGTGTCCCAGACATTATGAGGATATCGTCCAGATAGATAATGAGGCGAATCCCGTGTAACCTGAGAAATGCTACCACTGGTTTCAGCACTTTCGTAAAGCACCAGGGAGCGGAGGAGAGCCCGAAAGGGAGGCAACAGAAGCGCCATTTCTTTGTGCCCCACCGGAACTGTAGCAGATTCCTGTGTGTTGGTGCTATCGGGATCGTGAGATATGCATCTTGCAGATCGAGTTTCACCATCCAGTCTCCTGGGAGAAGGAGGTCTCGGAGGCAGTGTATGCCCTCCATTTTGAAATGCCGATATTGTATGAAGGCATTGAGGGGTCTCAGGTTGATAACTGGGCGAACACCCCCGCCTTTCTTCGGCACCAAGAACAGGTTGCTTATAAAACCTGGGGTATCTAGAGGAATTTCTTCTATGGCATTTTTGTTGTACAAGGTCTCTATCTCCGTGGAGATGAGGTCGTAGTGGGACTGTGGCATGTGTGGCACACGTGGGAGGAAACCTGAAAGGGAAGACCCGTCAATTCTAGGTGGTAACCCTCTACAGTCTGCAGTACCCAACTGTCGGACGTGATAGTGGCCCAAGTCTGAGAAAACAAAGCCAGTCTGCCCCCCACATTTATATGGGAAAAATGGGGAAAAATCGTACTCACCATAAGGGCGTTTTCCTGGGGTCGTTCCTCTGCCGCCACGGGCATTCCAAGATCTTCCTCGAGAAGGGAAGAACGGAGTGTAGGAACGCTCCTGGTTTTGTCTCTGTGTGTTGGAGGAGCCTCTGCCCGGTCTTGAGAAACCCCGGGGGTTGCGGCCGGATAGACGGCTCCTACCTCTACCGGCCCCACCAAAAACCTTTTGGTGGAAGACCCTCTTCATGGATGATTGGGCTTTATCCAGCGCCGTGAATGTTTTGACATAGGAGCCCAGGTCTTTGACGAAGGATTCGCCAAACAACAGACCCTTAGCCGCGGCCCCTGGTTCAGAGGAGGCCATACTAGCCAGCTTGGGTTCGATTTTCAGCAGGATGGCTTTCCTGCGTTCTGTTGACATGGCAGTATTGGCATTGCCGATCATGCAGACCAAGCGTTGGAGCCAGCCAAACGCTACTTCAAAGTCTACTGGTGCCTCACCCGACTGAGCTGCTTCCAGCAGTTCGTACAGCTTAGTGACAGGACCCAGAGTGTCTAGGAACTTGTCCTGACAATTACGGAGGGAGTAATCCAGTCCCCTCTTGGCCTTCCAGCCGGTTTTGGCTAGAAACTGGGCTATCTGGGGGTCCACTTCTGGGGTTTTTGCCACAGCATCAGGAATTATGGGTCGGGGGCACTCCGCTCTCAATTTATTACGGCTCTCTTGAGAAAGGGACTTACGTACCCTGAGGGCTAGGTATCGGCTGATGTGCTCGGATGGTTCCCACTCGGCAGAGCGTGGGTGCCGTAAGTTGTCAGGGTCGAATAGCGGAACCTCTTTAGGGTCGCGGGTTGTTTCTGCCTCGGGCGCCCCTGAATGAGCAGGGGTACGCGTTGGTGTCAAGGGGAACTGCTTTCCCTGGAGGCTTTCACCCTCTGAGAGCTCGTCCTCGTACGGGTCAGAGTACGGGGCGTCAGACCCCTCATCCCCCTCCTCGTCTGAGTCAGACAGTATATCATGGGCCTTAGCCCTTTTCCAGTCTCTGGTAGCCGTAGCTCGCCCAGAAGCTCTATTGCGCGGTTGTTGCGCGCCATCATGGACAGCCTGAGGCATGTCAATCAGAGCAGGGTCAACCTGCATGGGGGGGGGGTCTTGTGAATGTCTGCGTTTGGTTAGCGCTTTGCGCCCTGGTAGTCTCCCTTCAGGAGGGGTATGGGTCAAGGCTGGGGTAGAGTGAGGTTGTACCTGTTTGAGCGCTTGCGTAATGGAGTCCGAGATGGTAGAGGACATCGCGCCCATGTCTGAGGATATGGCCTTTGAAATAGATTTGGACATGGTGGTGTCCAGAAGGGATTGGAATTCCTCAGAGCCCATGAGCCCAGGGTCGACCTGAGGATCAGGATCAGTAGTAGCCATAGAGGGGCTATGTTTGCCAGGGAATTTATCACCAGATTGCATGGTAGGTAATAGAGTGCAAGTGGGAAAATAACAAATAGAAAATAATAAAGTGTAAATGCAGAGTACTAGGATTGATTAACCCAGGTACAGGATGGAAAGTACAGGGAGATGGAAGGTAATTCCAAAATATAAATGCAGAGAAATCAAACTGTACTAGTAGGGGGGGCTGCCGGAACGAAATCCGGTGAGGGAGGGGTCAAACGGCACTAAAAACCGAGTAGAGGAAATGGCCGCCGCCTAAAACGGCGACCAGAAACCAAGAAAATGGCCGCCGCGAGCTACCGCGCATGCGCGGTGCGTGCGAGCGGCGGGAACTAAAGTAAAGCGAATCGCCGCGCGGACGAAAGTAGGTCCGGCCGGCGGTGCTGAAAATAGTGCCGGGAAATGCCGCGGGGTTGACCGATGGGTCCCCCCGGCGCAAAACCGGCAGACTGTGACCGGGGAGGGAGCCCCAACCGGAGGGAGGGGGCTGGGGGGAGGGAATTGTATGAATACCCAGGGAACAGAGAGGGACCGGCCACAGTAAAATAAACACAGGCAATAGAGATAAAACAGGCAGTGTAAGAAGAAGTGGGAAGAAAAACAGAGAAAAAAAAGGAGGGATAAACCAGATAAGGAGTATCCCCACAGTAGTAACACAAAGATATAAATCTAACAACTATATAATATCCTCTGAGACATCCCACAGTGTACACATAGAAATAATAATATGAGAGTGTACTTATCTTCTGAGGGAGCAGCGAAGAAAGAGGAAGAAGCATGGAGTGCTACACCTTATATACTAAGGGGGTGGATACCTATGAGCTCTGTTCCATATGCTAATGTTATTGTTATTTTTTCTCTCATTTGCATATATCTCTCTTCGCTGCTGAGGGAGAATTAAAGAAAGAGAAGCATAATAGGAGCCTCCGTGTCTTTAATAAAATTCTTGTTAGCTTGATTACTGTGGCCTAAATGTTACAGTTTGCTTCTGATTCACAACAGTTCATTGTTATAAACAAAACGCACAGAATCTGAATGTAAAACAGTAAATCTGGGCATTTATGATCAGACAGTCAGTTTGTTACCTGGTTCTGCCACTCCACGGAAATAGAACCTGCTGGTGAATAGTCTTCAGGGAATGTGCTTCAGGGAGATAGAAGCTGTGCTGCTTCTAATAGTGTACTTTGTAAAGAGTAATGGACTGCAGTGTAATGTGGGTGAAAGTTCCCAGCTGCTGGGGACATTGTATGAATGAGCTAAGTGTTTAATACAGTTTATCTTATCGCTAGTGTAGACTCTGAATTGTGAAAGCACTGACGTTTTGCTGCTTCTGAATTTTTTGGCTCTTTTATATTTTAATCTGCTCTGTATAACAGAAATCCCTTTCACCCACTGACCTTTGGCTCGATTACGACCACGATTGCCATGGTTTTACTAGCAGTGGCCTGTAAATAGCTTTTTGGCAACGTCCCTTTATCCACTATTTTTCTTCCCTCCCTCTTTGCTGTCTCATTCTGTCTCTCTCATTCTCTCTCTTTCTCTCTCTCTCTCTCGTGAATTATGAAATGTTTAATATTATGCACTTGATACATTCTTGATTCACATTTAACATAGAACTTCCACCATGGAAAGATTGGCTATCTGTAATATTAAGTTCTGCACGATGTTGGGCAGTACGTGACGAGTGTTCCCTAGCAGTATGTAGCATTCACATGTTTCCACAACAAATAATCATGGCATTTCCTATGGAATATTATTAATGGCTATTATTAATTAATGGATTTCCTCTGGCACTGTGTTATATGAAACTTGCTCAGTAGCATTGTGAAGTTCCATTCAAACATCTGCATAATGACTTGCAGGAAAACTGCCCTCAGTTTTAAATAATACTCAAAATGAAAGATTACTGTACATTACTTGTCTATATAAGACGCTCCAGAATATAAGACACACCCATATATTTCCACTAGGAATTTAAGATAAAAAATGAAACAACCTGGTCCATATTTACAGAAAGCTGTAGGCTTTCTGTAAATATGGACCAGGTTGTTTCAGTACAGGGGGGTGTAGTAAGTATACATAATGGGGATGTGTGGCAATATAGCATTTAGTGTGGATATGGTGTGTTTGTATGGGGTGTGGTGGATGTAGTGTGTGTACACAATGTGGTGGCTGTAGTGTGTGTACACAATGTGGTGGCTATAGTGTGTTTGTACGAGATGTGGTGGATGTAGTGTGTGTACACGATGTGGTGGATGTAGTGTGTTTGTACTAGATGTGGTGGATGTAGTGTGTTTGTACATAATGTGGTGGATGGTGAAATTTCAATTTTTATTTTACACATAACAAGTCCATAAATAAAATATCTATTTATATATATTGCATTTCGTGTGGATATGGTGTGTTTGTTTGAGGTGTGGTGGATGTAGTGTAGTGTGTTTGTACGAGATGTGGTGGATGTAGTGTGTGTACACGATGTGGTGGATGTAGTTTGTTTGTACGAGATGTGGTGGATGTAGTGTGTTGTACATAATGTGGTAGATGGTGAAATTTCAATTTTTATTTTACACATAACAAGTCCATAAATAAAATATCTATTTATATATATTGCATTTCGTGTGGATATGGTGTGTTTGTTTGAGGTGTGGTGGATGTAGTGTAGTGTGTTTGTACGAGATGTGGTGGATGTAGTGTGTGTACACGATGTGGTGGATGTAGTTTGTTTGTACGAGATGTGGTGGATGTAGTGTGTTGTACATAATGTGGTAGATGGTGAAATTTCAGTTTTTATTTTACACATAACAAGTCCATAAATAAAATATCTATTTTGCAGTTATTGTGTAAACAACTCTGGAGAGCAGTAAGTTGGGGCACCAGCCAAAATCAAGTTTGGAAGTATACATATTCCAACAAAGACACTTGACTACTGACTGTGGCGGGCCACCGCCACTAAGTGCTATGCCCACTTGGTATTCATATGTTTTGGCCTTGTATTTTGTGTTCCCAATGTTTATTCTTCCGATTTTCCCTTCTACTCTGTGTTTCCCCATGTATTTATATGTAGTTGTGTTGTATTCGTGTGTCTTACCTGCTTCCAGTTCGGGAGAGCTCATACGAACGGGTTCTGTTCGGCTAGCGAACGGGAACTAACCCGACACCTAATTTAGAATGTCTGTTTAGAACGTTCACACCTTGTAATGAGGTGCGAAAACCGCAAACCGAAAAGGAAACAAGCGGCGCATGTAGAGGCAGCATTCGTATCCCAACCGGCATACGCACAGAGTCCCACTGGCTGCATGGAAGTTTGTATGGACCAATGGGAGAGGGCGCGCCCATTCAAACTGGGTTTGCACCATTTTCCTGATTGGTTGGCACAAACACTGGGCGCTGATTGGTCGCTGTGTGGCGCAGGCGACCAATCAGAGAACAAGCGCTCTGTCAAACAGGATTTCGCGCCCATTCTTCTGATTGGCCAGCAATATCCCTCTCCACCCCGAGTGCCAATTGGTGTAATTGAATTTCACGCCCTTTCACCTGATTGGGCGGCGAAACTCTTCTCCACACTGCGAGCTGATTGGCGCAATTAGGTTTTGTGCCTTTCAGCTGATTGTTTGATGATTGGTTTAGGCATTAAGTTTGAATTCGTCAGACGAAACCAAGCAACTTCATGAAACTAATTTCGTGGGTGTAGAGAGCCGCGAGCTCCAAACTTTAGACAATTATTTCTTGGGCTCTGTACATTTGATCGCCCCGCTATTTGCAGGGATCCTAGTAGGGACCTGGGACTATCTAGCAATGTGTGCTAAATCCCCTAACCATATAAGAGTTCCTGATCAGCTGAAGGAAGGGAACTAGAGGAGGTAACCGGTCGTGTTACCAGGTATCCTGCTACACTGACATTTGAGGAGTTTCTACTACACTGACTGCGTAAAACTCGGTCAATTGACATGGAATCTCATAAGAAAGCATTGAATGTGTGAGCAGCGATTGAACCATCACTGGAGGAAGCCATGCCTTCTTGATGAATTTGCAGCAGATGGAGAGGTGAGCAGGGTAAAGGGAGTCTTACCCATGGAAAAAGGTGAGTAAAACCTATATTTTGTTAATCCTATTGGAAAAAGTGGGGGACACTATAGATACAGGGACGCTATAGTTTAGGAATACAGATTTGTGTTTCTTTAATTATTAGCAAACTATTTAATTTGTTTCTTACATTAAAATTAGTGTGGAACCTACTGATATTGGGGTATTATTGCGTAGTGATGGGCTTAACACGATATGGACATTTCGTGGAACTGAATCCCCATATTTGTTTGCTGAGATAGGGGATTCTTAGTAACTTTGTAAATTTTAAACTTTTTTTTATTTCTATGGAATCACCATTGCTGAGAACTGCATGCTCCTAGTGTATCCCCAATTTCCTTTTTTTCTATGTACATTTGGAGTCCAGACCAGATTCTTTATGGGTTGAACACCCTGCCGCGCCCCCCAGCTTCAGATGTTGTGTTTTAAAAACTTGGAAACCATGTTAATGGATATGGAGAAAAAACGAATGTTAAATCAACTTTTTAGGAATTTGTGCTATCTTACGGATGTTGAACATGTGACAAATAGAACAAGTTCCAAGATATGCACATCATGGTGGAAGACTGGACTTTTGAACTTATAATATTGTTTTGAATAAGGATTAGAGAATTTAGAAATTAAGGGAAAAGAGGGCTGACCTGCTTAGGATTCTTACGAATCCAATGTCCTTTTATTTGCATTTACACCAATGCTCAGTGTGTGATATATTTGTTAAAGCTTTCTACAATAAAAAAAACGTTTGATGTTAATGGTAGCGGTTTCCTGTGATAATGTGGGATATTGGTGTATCTTCAATATTTTCTTAGATATTAATAGTGTTTACACATTGGAAAATGCCTTGAACATCTGCCAAGATGCTCTAACAGATTAAAGCAGGCCCAAAAAGGTCACTTATATGAACTACCAGCCAACATTAACACAACTGGAACATATATATCTATATCTACAAAGAAATCCATTCCATACTGTATGTCATATAAACATATTGCTTTCTACTGTTTCAAAACTGTGTTCTGTGTGTTTATAAATAAATAAAATACAAAGAAAATGGAAAACAAGGAAAGTCAATATAAAAAAGGATACCATACATTTTATTAGAGATCATTATTTTTAAGTATTAACACATGGTATATTATATACTGGAGATGTTTTGGTATTGTCTGAAATACTCTGATTTAACTAGCAGCTTTGAACTCTAACTTTAATTTCTAAATATATGGCTTAACCTTTAGCCTAACCTTATCCATACAACCATACATTTGACTTCTAACACTATATACATTGAAAAGCCACCACATTAAAACCACTGACAGGGTAGTAAATAGCATTATAGCATAAAAGATTATATTTTGGATAAAAGAGAGAGGTTGGCACACACGATGGATAGCTTTGCAACAATCTGTAATAAATATAACAGAACCTTCATAGGGCAACATATATAAGAAAATAACCAAATATACGTGTAACTGGAAGCACTCACAATTTTGAGAGCCATATAAGTCGGCTCTCTACTGTAGTAGCATGTAGGTAGTTCCAATACGACAAATAGCCACAATGATGGTGGTCCCCCAGAGGAAGACCAGTGTATTGGTCGAAACGCGTTGTGCTAGTACTTTTTATGTTTACCTTTATCTAATAAAGAGCTATTTTAGCTATCCTTGGTTCCTGAACTTCTATCCAGGCAGAGTTCAAGTTTTCCTTTTCCTGGGGGACCACCATCATTGCGGCTCTTTGTCGTATTGAAACTACCTACATACTACTACAGTAGAGAGCCGACTTATATGGCTCTCAAAATTGTGAGTACTTCCAGTTACACTTATATTTGATTATTTTTTATATATGTTGCCCTATGAAGGTTCTGTTCTATTTATTACAGATTATTGCAAAGCTATCCATCATGTGCGCCAACCTCTCTCTTTTATCCAAACTTTATGTTTGTAAGTGTTTAAGGTGACATAACACTTGTGTGGTTTGAGACGCACTGGGATATATTTATTGTTCTATTTATCGCGCCATTTTTACACCTTTTTTGTCTGTGATAATAGATTATATGGTTACAATGGCACCTGTCAAAGGGTTGTGGGACATATTAGGCAGCAAATGAACAGTCAGTTCTTGAATTTCATTGTTGGAAGCACGAAAAATTGGCAAGAAAAAAATTCTGAGTGACTTTGACAAGGGCCAAACAGTGATTGCAAGATGACTGGATCTCTAAAATGGCAAGTCTTGTGGGGTGTTCCCTGTATGCAGTGGTTAGTGCCTACCAAAAATGGTGCAAGGTAGGACAACCGTTTAACTGGCATCAAGGTCATGGGTGCCCATGGCAAATTGATGCACATGGGGAGTGAAGGCTACCTTGTCTAGTCACAGCTCGATCACACAGAAGAGCTACTGGAGCTCAAATGGCTTAAAATGTAATGCTGACCATGATAGAAATGTGTCAGAACAAACAGTGAATCACAATTTGGTGCATAAGCCACATACTGGACAGAGTTCCTATAATTACCTTTTTCCACCACCAAAAGTGCCTTCACTGGGTACATGAATGTCACACCTGAATCATGGAGACATGGAAGAAGATTGCCTGGTCTGATGAATCACATTTTCTTTTAATTCAGGAAGATGGTTGAGTCCATGTGTACGTTACCTGGGGAAGATATGGCATCAGGATGCACTATGGGAGGAAGGCAGACCAGCTGAGGCAGTGTTATGCTAATGACAATGTTTTGCTGGGAAACTTACATTCAAGCATTCATGTGGATGTTACTTTGACATGTACTACCTGCCTAGATAATACACCGTGCCACACTTTGTTCAGGAATGGTTTGAGGAACATGACAAATAGTTTAAGGTGTTGCCATCACCTCCAAATTCCCCAGAACTCAATCCAATTTAACATCTTTAGGATGTGCTGAAAGAACAACTCAGCTCCATGGAGGCCACATTGGACAACTTGCAGGACACATTCACAGGTCGTATGGAGTCCCTGCCTCGATGAATTAGAGCTGTGTATGAGGCAGCTAGTTTTAATGTTATGGCAGATCAGTCTATAAACATACTCCTAACTATATATGTGAATCCCAGCCCAAAATACTATCCCTAACCCAAAATATTTGCCCCATATCTGTATGTTTCTCAGTTTGAATACAAGACTCAATTGTGTTTTCTATTGAGAATGATCAAACGTCAGCTACCAAAGGCAGAGTTTAGTGACTTAACCTTCGGTGAGTGTTAGAAGAATAAAGACCTGTCAGTCAGTTCTGCAAACCGAACAGATGTAAAACATAAAACAGCCTTTGTTTGGCGCTCTGACAGGTACATTCTGTGAAAACTCTTTTTTTTTTTTCTAACTAATCCTAGCTTAATAGAAACATCACCTACAAGTTAGATCAAGTCACAGAAACGTCTGAAAGATCACTCATGAGGGGGACTGTCATGTAAGCATCAAAACATGTCTCATGTAAGGGCCAAAGCCCAATTCCTACTGTGCGTTTGTGGTTTACAGTTTGTTCTCCAAGTTTGTATTCACAACCAACAAGCTAAGCATTCTCAACACAGTAGAAATTGAACATAATGATAGTAAAACAAAATGTGAAAAATGCAGAAAGTAAAAAGCAATGATGTTTTTAAAGGTATAAATATAAGATAAATAAGTCATCCAATTACCACCATCCTAACGTCTCTAAAGATTGGAGAGAGGAGCTCTTTTTGTTGTGCATGGGGAGATTCACAACATTCATATTGGCTTATGCTCAATACATTGTTTTTAATTTTCTGGAAAAGCAGAGAGTTTGTTATTATTACTTTGATAGAGTCCTGGGTAAATCAGAGCATGTTCCATAGTATATGTTTAGACTAGGGCTGGAGAGAAAAAGACAGACTATTACTCTTTCTCTTGCACCTTTCACAGTATATTATTAATGAAAAAGGGAAAAATGTAATGGTCATGGCAAGCACCACCAGTGATTTGAAGTGGTCATGGTGCCTCAAATCTGTATGTGCAGTGTTTGATTATAAGTGTAACCCCTCTGCTGCCAGAGCTGTAGGGCTACCTCCAGCATGGTCATTAGGTGGTCTTCGGCCAGCCCAGAAATAGAAGCACATCACCAGACTACAGCTTCCAGCTTCTGTGGCTCTGCAGGAGCTGGGTGTTTGTCACCAGACCAACAGGGATCCTTTGAGCCCAGGGATGTGGGGGGCCCAGATAAGGGGCAAACGGTTTTCCCCATTAAAGTAAACTGGGCCAGGGTGCTCCTGGTATCATAACCACCATAGCAGTGCCACCATAGCAGGCTGAAGTGATTATAATGACTGGAGTAACCCTTTCATGAGAGCTACTGCCAGTCATAGCAGTGCCTCAGGGTTCTAACTCCTGTTAATCGCAGACAGCCTGGGACATATGTTAAGGATTCCACAATTCCTATGTGGTTATTAACTAAAGTGAGTATCAAAGGGAATTTCAAATTTAAGGTTAAAATACTCTAAAAATTGTCTAAATCAGCTATGCTTTCAGATCAGCAACTCTGGCATTTAAATAGGAAATTCCCTTTGAAATCTCACTTTCGGAAATAACCCTGCTTAGTGGTAGCACATTATGTGTTCTGGTTCAACTATACTGGCTTCTCACAGAGTAAATCAAGATTTAAAAATAATTAATAGCTCATTAAAATAGTATAGGTATATATTATGCTGAACTAGTCATTAGGCGTTTAGAAACAAGCCACATTCGAGATTGCTTAGCTGAATGTATTCAAGTTATTAGAATTAAAGAACCTGCATGAGATTACTTTATTGTAGTGCTGGGTCACACTTTTATCTCGGTCCTTTTATTTCCAGGGATGTAAAACCTTCCCTTTCTTTTCCTGGATAGTGTCAGTAACTCAGTGAGCTGTAGAATGGTCTAAGTGTAAATTCCATATTGAGCGTGACATTTCTTTAATGTTCCATTAAATCACTTGTCAAATGAGAATCCCCAGCTGTCTGCAACTGTAAAATCCTTTGTTCTAATATTTACTGATTTAAAGCGGACGCGCGTTTATTTAGTGGAAGGCAAAGCTTATTCTTCAGATAGGCACGCAGGTTTAATTTTGACATCGTGCTAATGAAATCACTAGGATATGTATAGATAAAATAATATACGTATTGCTTCTCTATCATTTTTTCAATGACTCCTTATAATAATATTAAAACATTGGAAATCTCCTGTAACATGTTTTAACCTATGAATATAATGTAACATTTTCTTTTCATTATATATTAAAGATATGGAAATTGTCACAATCCAACTTGCCCTGGCTTTGCCTTGTCTGAACTCGATTATAATGTAATTTGCTACTTTTTTATTTGAAGAAAAAGAGCATTTCATTAAAAATGGTTAACACAAATTATGTGTATCTTTTAATGTTTTATTCAATGGTACAAATTCCAGAAAAGTGTCAATCCCCTTTAAATTCCTACATGACTGGTGTTCTCTAATTATGTAACTGGGGAATAAATGTGTTACAACGTCTCTTTATCTTTGGTATTTTTCAAATAATGGAAACTCCCAGACCTGATTGAATGGATCAGATTATTCCCAATTCGTTAGTTAGCTATAAGGTTCCATGTACTAAAGATTTGCTTGAATTGCATGAAAAGTTAGGTTAAATGGTAAAGCTACAAAAAAATCTCCAAATCTACTGAATCTGAAATTTTATCCATTTATTTCAATCTATGTTTTGCTAAGTAGTTCTTAAACAATGTATCTGGGCTGCTAGGAACAAACAGCATTATGATGCCTGCTACACACTGAATGTCCATCGTATATTGTCTATCTCTTGTCTCTGGTCATATCTTTCTCTATGTTCCCATTCATCAGTAAACAGTGCTTATAATAGTACATTTTTGATCAGCCCCAAATGGGTTGGATATTGAGAGACTTTGTTAGAACATGGACTTGTTTTGTGGATGAGCCACAATGGTCTTGATAAGATTGTTCCAGTAATCGAAGGGAAATGGGTTAGTGTAACAGTAACAATCTATTAATGAATTGAACCCAGGACATACTTGAAAACAAGAGAAATCTCAGTGTATCTTTCCTGGTAAAATATTTTATAGATAAATAAATAAATATATAAATAATAAAGGGGTTCATATATCAATGGACAATGCACATCCCAGCCCTGCATCTGACTGTACCGGAGAGCTACGCCGTATTCCAGGCAGTGAACGTAACTTTATTGACTTCAGATGTAGACATTATACTCTCTCTCTATGGCGATATATGGCCCCCAATCCCATCTCCTCATGTCATCTTTATACTGTATTCATGTAATATTACAGTTCTCACTCACACCTCTTTAGCGGATACTGAATTGCTAAATGTATGGAACCCACAGGTGAAGTGGGTTCTAGGGCATTTGGGCATTTGCTCCCCTACGCTGGTATTCCAGCATAAATCAGAATCTTCCCTTTCCTACTTGTCAGAGGCCAATATATTGTACTTGGTATTGTATCTCAATGATCTCCAGCATGAAGGAACTCTACCTTTCTAAGGCATGGCAATACGGCATACTTTAAGTCCTATCTTTCCTGTCTTTAAAGATTTCTGTGGACACTGGCGCTAAGGAGTGAGGTGCGGCTGAGTTGGCTTTAATTCTGTTTGACACGGAGTTGTGACTATCTTACCATTATATATTATAACACAGCAAAACCCCAAATATTATCTCTCAGCCAGAAGCAAACTTGTGCAATACATTTTGCGTTTTACAAAGGGTTTTTTTTTCCCCCTTTTTTTTCTGTGTGCCTCGTTGGTTTGATATTGTTTCTGTTTAACTAATTTGAAGTTATTCTATCACAGTTATTTTTATATCAAGCCAAACTTACTGAATGTTACAGAACTAATATAAAGATGATAACCGCATACTTTAATCTAAGCACCCAGTGATATTATAATAATATTTCCATAATATAAATATTTTCACTTATGATTCACATTGAAATGCACTCTGCGTGATATTTCATCACATTCCAAAGTAAGAATAACACTGGCAAATACATATTCTACAGAGACATGCATAGTTCACCTTCCATTATTCCCCATATAAATGGTACAGTCCAGTAATACAGCTTTAACCCCTTAAGGACCAAACTTCTGGAATAAAAGGGAATCATGACATGTCACACATGTCATGTGTCCTTAAGGGGTTAAAGCTATAAGGTAGGCACATAGGTAGGTACACTCTGTAATACTCGTTTAGAGTTACGGTTTGTCTTAGGACTAGGGTTATATAGAATGCTGGATATACGACATTAGGGTAATGCAATACAACATACATTTTTGTGACAATATTGAGGTGATCGTTTTTTTCTCTATGTCTTTTTGGTGATGGTGACATTGTCCATCTTCACTTTTGACGCTCAAACGTTTCTGAGCACATTCTACTAACTTGATAGATTATTATCTGTTAAATTGTTTTGAGATAGTACTTCTCAATTCAGGACTGTAGAAACATAGAATGTGACAGCAGATAAGAACCATTCAGCCCATCTAGTCTGCCCAAATTTCTAAATACTTTCATTAGTCCCTGGCCTTCTCTTATAGTTAGGATAGCCTTATGCCTATCCCACGCATGCTTAAACTCCTTTACTGTGTTAACCTCTACCACTTCAGCTGGAAGGCTATTCCATGCATCCACTACCCTCTCAGTAAAGTAATACTTCCTGATATTATTTTTAAACCTTTGTCCCTCTAATTTAAGACTATGTCCTCTTGTTGTGGTAGTTTTTCTTCTTTTAAATATAGTCTCCTCCTTTACTGTGTTGATTCCCTTTATATATTTAAATGTTTCTATCATATCCCCCCTGTCTCGTCTTTCCTCCAAGCTATACATGTTAAGATCCTTTAACCTTTCCTGGTAAGTTTTATCCCGCAATCCATGAACCAGTTTAGTAGCCCTTCTCTGAAATCTCTCTAAGGTATCAATATCCTTCTGAAGATACGGTCTCCAGTACTGTGTACAATACTCCAAGTGAGGTCTCACCAGTGTTCTGTACAATGGCATGAGCACTTCCCTCTTTCTACTGCTAATACCTCTCCCTATACAACCAAGCATTCTGCTAGCATTTCCTGTTGCTCTGTTACATTGTCTGCCTAGCTTTTAAGTAATCTAAAATAATTACCCCTAAATCTCTTTCTTCAGATGTTGAGGTAAGTAGGGTATCAAATATTTTATACTCTGCCCTTAGGTTTTTAGGTCCAAGATGCATTATCTTGCACTTATCCACATTAAATGTCAGTTTCCACAACTCTGATCATTTTTCTAGTTTACCTAAACCATTTACAATTTGGCTTATCCCTCCTGGAACATCATTCCTTTTGCAAATCTTTGTATCATCAGCAAAAATACACGTTTTACCATCAAGACCTTCTGCAATATCACTAATATAAATATTAAAGACAATGGGTCCAAGTACAGATCCCTGAGGTACCCCACTGGTGACAAGACCATGCTTCGAATACACTCCATTGACTACAACCCTCTGTTTCCTCTCACTCAGCCACCGCCTTACCCATTCAACAATATTGGAATCCAAACTTAAATATAGCAGTTTATTGATACAGAAAAACAGAGAAAAGGTGGCACTAAAATTTAATAAAATATCGGAAATAAAACCCAGTGCAGCAAACAATCACCCAAGTCTTTAGTCACTAAATAACACAATAACACTTACATACAAAGAATAAAACTGGAGATAAGGTGATTGCGCACAGATTGCTAAATGGTTTTCTTGCTTTTAGTGTGCAATCTCAAGGTTCTATAAATATTAAAAAAAAACAACATAGGGCAATATGTATCAATACAGTAAATACAATAATAAACTTGGAATACTCCAAATATTTGGAGCCCATATGAGTTGGCTCTAAACTGTAACAGCAGGTACATCAATCAGATGTAGATATAGATGTATGGTCAGGTCCCCCAGAAGGGGTTGAAATTCCTCTGTGCAGTAAATCAGGAACCAGATAGATAAAAGGTAAATACTTTTATTTGACAGCATAAAATAAAAAAGCACAGCGCGTTTTGACCTTTTAAAATAGGTCTTCCTCAGGTGCATGTAGTGCAGCATATGAGCAAATACTCTTATATAGGTAAAAATGATTAAAGCAATTAACAGGTGGTTGTTCATTACACAGCCCCACCCTTTCTCCATATAGGGAGCGTATCCAGAGCATTTCCAGAGCGGTTCCGCCTCACCCAACATGGCCGGTGAGGTTATATCTTAGATGGAAATGTGCACGACCTTCCCAACATGGCCGCATGTCTATTCCATATAGCGGTCGTTCACATGTACTTTTCACTTCCGGTTGCGTCCGTCATGTATCCGGCGGTCATGAGCTTGTGCATCTATGCCTGTTTTCCAAGTTCTTGCCAATCAGAAGGCAATGTTCATGTGTTTCCACATAGGAACAGTGTTCGTTAAGAAAGTTCATTACAATCACCATTTTGAAAGAGGGAAGAGTATATTTGGAGTATTTGGAGTGTTCCAAGTTTATTATTGTATTTACTGTGTTGAAACATGTTGCCCTATGTTGTTTTTTTATATTTACAGAACCTTGGAATTGTACACTAAAAACAGGACAACCATTTACCAATGTGTGCGCAATCACCTTATCTCCAGTTTATTGATGCGTCTTCTATGTGCAATCATGTAAAAAGCCTTACCGAAATCTAGGTAAGCAATGTCTACTGCACCACCCTGATCTATTATTTTAGTTACCCAATCAAAAAACCTTAGTTTGGCATGATCTCTCTCAAGTAAACCCATGTTGTCTCTGATCTTGAAATCAATGTGATTTTAGATGTTCAACAATCCTATCCTTTAACATGGTTTCCATTACTTTCCCCACTACTGAAGTAAGGCTTACTGCCCTATAGTTGCCCGACTCCTTCCTAATACCTTTCTTGTGAATTGGCACAACATTCACTAATTTCCAATCTTCTGGGACTACACCCGTTAACAGTAATTGGTTAAATAAGTCCATTAACTGTCCTACTTAAAGTGTGACTAGAATAGTTGAATGCCGTGTACTGCTTGGGCCAGGGATTCATGGGCACATTTAAATATATCTTATTTAAAACCAATATTGGCTTTTTATATTTTATATTTTTGGATAAGCTGTTCAAATTATTTAATATTTTTAAACCTTTAAAATATTTTTTTTTTCAAAATGTATTTGAAAGTTTACCTTCTGTTAAAAATAAAAACTGTATTACCTTATTAGTGATTTTTTAAAATATATTTGTTTAAATCATATGTTAAGCTAAGGTAAGATCTAGCAGTTTCTTTAACTACGTTGTTTCCAAAATTGTCTTTATAACTAAAATAAATGCATGGGAAAACAGGAGGGAAATAATTAAACGTCTCTAAGCCATCTAAGTATCCTTTGTTTCTTACAATGTAATTACTACTAGACTGATTTATATCACTGATATTGCTGCCTTCTCGAATGATTTAGCATTGCTCATCTTAAAGTGTTTATACATCAAAGTACTTGGATACAACATAATATAGCAACCAAATGTTACCGAAACTGATTACATTACATATAGATGGCAAATAACTTCTACAGACACTTTTTATTTTATTACTTTTTTTTTCGCTCTATGCCTTCTCTTATGAGTATTTTCACTCATCTAAGGGGTTTATAGACTGTCTGAACTTTTAGACACCATGATGTACAATTTTGTTGTTTAGTGTAATTTTTTTTTTTTCTAACTCTGTAAATATGAATGAAAACCCAAAACTCAGACACGAACTAGCAGGTCTTCTGTCTGCATTTTAGGTCCTCAAGAAAAGTGGTCGGTTTCTGAGGGGGTTTGTTGAGGGGACTTTTATTTCTACCAGTGATTGGCTGATTTTGTAGCCCCCTGCCCTCCCAATCAGTATAATCCCCAAACGAGTTAGAATAGCTTCTGAATAATAATAATAATAAAGTATCTAGCCAGGAAAGGTACGTTCAGATTACTTTGGTTTTTAAGTACGTCCTGCTAAACATCCAGGGTTTGTTACTCAGTTTAATGGTACTCATTTTATCTACCTCAAAGGATGATGGACTGAGTCATACCTGCTGGGATTTGAACCTGTGACCGACATGCATTACTTTGAAGGAAATGTAATTATTGGAACAGGATTTCATTTTATACTAGTAGATGTGTAAAAAAAAAATATATCCTTTGCAGTGGCCCTTGCTTCTTCAGCATATGAGGTCTTTAAGTAGTAATTGTGAGTAATTCTCTTTAGAAGACACCCACCTTATTCTGATAGCTTGAGGTATTGTAACTACCTCCAGACACACTCTTAAATACCATCTAAGAAGCCAGGCATTGCACAGTTATAATTCAATGGTTATTTTGCATACAAATGCTATTGTCACGGCTGCTAGTGTGGTCCAACACGCAGAAACTATGTAAACATATACATACAAAAGGAAAGGACTAATACGCTAGAGATAGAGAATGGTCAAAGGGAAAGCCGAGGTCAAGGAAGCCAGAAATACTCAGATACCATTTAAACAAGCCAAGTCAGGAGAACCAGAATTCGAAATAACCAGGGAAAAGCCAAGATCAGGATACCAGGAAGTAATATTTACAAAGATAAACGCACTCTAGGGAACCAGGAGCAGGAAACCACGACAGGGCAAGGTACTGGGGTGAATTAGGGATTTAAATATCCCTCTCTAGGCTCTGATTGGTCAGAGGGTGACCTCTGACCCCAGAACGTGCGCATGCGTTGATGTTGTGATGTCACGCGCACGTTCGTATAATTTATGGGGATGGAGCCATAGATGGACGCGACCTCAGGGTCGCCGCCATCTTGGATTTCCCCGAGTGGCGTGGAGGAACGGTTCCCGGGTCGCCGCTAAGCAGGTAAGCTCAGTGAGTTGGTGCTGTCGTGCCGGTTGGGCACGGACGCACATGGCGGCGAGCCGGGGGCCGTGACAGCTATGAATTGATTTATCTGAAGTTGAGCTGTTCATCCAATGGCATCCTTGGTAATGGCATTGATCAAATGCATGCTGCTATAAATAGAAAAAAAAACCTCCTTTGTGCAATTGGCAATAATGATTTTACATGTAGATGATGTAATACTAATTATTCTAGAGTACAAATATTAAATAACCATTCCTGGAAAGTGGCTTTTGTGGACCCTCTGCTCAACACTTTACAACATAACACCTTGGTGGACTAGAGAAAATATAACTGTTTAACAAAAGTGTGTTTTCTTTTTTACATCATAACTGGAGGATTTAGCAATGTAGCTTTAGGCAATAATTATAAACAGTGTTTCCCTAAGGATACTTTTAGGAGGCAATCCATTATTGTGCAAGGAAGGCCCTTTGAATAGTTAGGAGGATAAACTGTTCTGTTGTGATTGTCATTTCTTGAGGTGTAAACTATGGAGGTGATTAATTTGTATCTTATTTCCAATTATGGAAGCACTATCATGCCTGACAAAATACCCAGTACATCATCATGCTGCTAACAAGCTCTGTAGGGGGAATGTTCTTAGCCACTGTCCTATTAAAGGGTTACTCCAAGCATCATAACCACTACAGCCCACTGTAATGCCTCATTTCCCAATAATGGAGCAAACTGTTTTGCAATGGTTTGCCCTTTTACCTTGGTCACCAGTGATGCCATCCAGCTTTTGCAGAACTACAGAAGCTGGTAGTCGATCCTGAACACCATCCATTGGCTGATAGCACCAAGTAACCACTCTCAGCCAATGCATGCAATTCAGTGCTTAGGGATATGCACAAAACCAACATAAGCCAGCCTGACATACTAATGACGGCCCTACAATGCTGCCCTCCCGTAGCAAAGAGGTTAAGTTCCTTACGTGCAATATTTTAAAGCAAGACCCTGCACACACATCATGGTGCTTGGAGTAACCCTTCTAAAAAACAAATGTGTTACTATAAACAGGCCATACCACAAGTTATGGGTCGCCAGTTATTCACACTTACCTGCTTGAGGTTATTTTTATCCAGGTCACCCTATGTATTGAAAGGTTACATAAGGGCTATTGAGTTTCTGATATTTCGAGATCAGTAGTCAGCCTTATCAATAAGTCTTAAATATATCCTACTCATTTAATCCTCTTTTGTATTTGCACAAGACTTATTGTTTATTTAAAGATGTTTTCTTAAAGCACATCCAAAAATAGCTCGTGTACCAACAGCATATATGCACTTAGAATTATCACAGCCGGTAGTGGATCACTTTGTAGTGAAACTCTGATGGAACATTTTTTGACACATTTGGTATAATTAGATAGGTAGCTTTCCTGGAGTGATTTAGGCACTAATTATTCAATCAATCATCTACTGATTTCAAGAGATTCGGGGTTCACGCACTATTCACAGATACATTGATATCATAGTGGGCCAATTAGCACCAGAACAGAATCTTAACATCTTATAATGAAACATAACAAGCTTCTCTTTCTGCGTACCTGTGCGTGTGTCCTCCAACTGACTACTGCAAAGGCCATATGCGATTCAGTAGCTTAAATTAAGAGGGACCACACCTTATTTAATTAATTTTATACAGTATGACCTACAGACTTTACAGGCTTGATGGGTTCTGTACAAAATGTTTTTAAAGATCATGGAACGTCAATATAGAAACAGAAATTCCATGAGCTAGTCAGAAGGTCAAGAGGTATCCTCATTCAAGGGAAGACAATAGGAGAACTTTAAGAATGATATTCTCTGAAGAGTCACTGATAAGTAAGCAAATGGTAAACAGTATAGTCCTTTTTGTACCTCTACACATCTCAACGGCAAGTAAAATGCAATTTTTCATTATATTAATATACTTAATTATGTTGTAATTTTCCACTATAAGAAAACAGTCAGATTAATTACCAGATAAATTATTATCATTGTAATTTTTATTGTGAATAACTCATGCTGTGGTCATGCCCTTACACTATTTGATGACCTTACAGTCAGTCTTTGTAAGAAACAACTTTTTTGATCTAACACATTGATGAATTAGTCGGACCTGGATTTTTTTTAACACTTCCAACACTTTTGCCTTTGTCTTTAATAACAAATACAGTCATAATACTCAAGCCAGCAAAAGTAGAAATAAAGTGAAACCGGACAGTTTATGATTTACAACAAGGTTAGACACATTAGGTCTCTCAAGCTTTAGTTGAAAAAATAACCCCATCAGCTTTGGTACTACTGTGAGTTATAATTCAACAACAGCTGGGGAGTCACAATCTGACCACCATAGATTTATGTAGACAGCATGCGTCAGTGGAATCAGAATTCAGCGACAGAACAGATGTAATTTTTTTCATCTTTTCACAATGATTCTTTTTTATATTTTAAATAATCCTCTGCTTGAAAGTGATATAAGGTTTTACTAAGACATGGAAACATTGTAAATGTAGTCTCCAATAAAACCATAGACTCAAGGCAGCCAAAATCAAAAGAATATTATTGGTGCTTTTGCATAACTTTTTACTTCTAAGGTGTTTGTTCAGTAACTCAGTTAAAAAAAAAGTGGTTAAAGAACTTGCTTTGAGCCTAGCTAGTTGTCTATCTGCTGATTTCAGTTCCCGCTAAGTTTAAATCACTCTCACTTCCATTAGAATTTGATACTGAAGTTACATTCAAGACTAATTTACACAATTTAGACATTTTAGACAATTTTAGAGATGTTTACAGTAATGTGAGTAGGACAAAAATAAATGAACACTTGGAAAACAAAAAAGTGTAATTTACTGAACAGACCCTGGAAATGAGAACAGTTACTAATAAGGAACTATATCATGCTATTAATTCTAGTTACCTTGAGATTGAGGTTTCATCCGAGGCTGCCTTTACACTCTTTCAATGTCCATGGGAAATTTCTTTCTATGTTTTTAGACATTTACTGTCTTTAGCTGGAAAAGAGATTTTGGTGATAACTTCAATTTACAAGTCATAAAGTGCAGGAACTATTGGGACAGATCTTCTCCTTCCTTCTCACGTGGTTCTGCTCTGCATTACTCGTTGAAGACCATCAATTATTCCACACCCCAGTACCTTCTGGGCTAACAGTTAGGCCAGAGAAAGGAAGATAAAATGTCATGGTGCTGTTGATTATGAGTATTCCATAAAGACAGATCTGATCTTTCGGAATTACTGATGATGACTGCAGTGGGATTTCATGGAAATTCCAACATAGTCAAAAGTTATCATTAGGCAAAGTAGTGACTACTTTGCCTTATAGACATACCCCAGGTTAACACAACTTTACAAAAGGCATTGCATTTTGTCAGTGTCCACAACTGTCGCTAGCAATGATTGTGGGAATAGGGCAGTTTAACAGATTGTGAGTATCTACTTTCAGCTGTACCCCTGCGGGTTGCTGCACACCAAGAGAATGATGCCACCTTTTGTGATCTTTGCAAACTTCACAGAATTCACACTAGCACAAGGCATTTTAGTGCCCATACTTAGTCAAATAGCTGATGTAAAAGTAATTTTTTTTTTAGAATTCTCTGCCAGTCCTCAGGGGTCATTGTCAATGTCATTGTCTACCAACAGAATGAAAGGGAGGCAAAAAGGGGACGGAATCATTGGTCTCAATGAGAATAAAAACTAACTTCAGGGACATGTGCATCGTAGGAAATACAATATATGAAGAATTTAATAACACGTTGTTGGTGTAAATTCTGTACAAGTACATAATATAACAACTTAATTCTTTTTCAATACAAACGGGTTAAATTAAGTTTTATATATAATATATAACTTTAAGCATGATGCATTATTTTTCTTAAATATATTTTTAAGGAACATCCCAGACATCATAGCTGCTATAGCGTGCTGTGGTGGTTATGGAGCCAGGAGTGGCCTGGCACCCTCATTATAAGTAGAAGCATTTTAGAATGCTTTGACTTCTTACTTGGGATTCACCAAGTTCAGCTCCACATCTCCACTATTGACGAGCTTGAAGGTCCTGCAAGTCCTACAGGGCTTAACTCACACAAAGAGCTTCAAGCCCACCATTAGCGTTAGTGGAGGTGGGGAGTGGCTCTAAAACAGTTTGACAACTTAAACCATAACCACTACAGTTTCCTTTAAGGACAACATTCTTTATAGAAATATGAGTGTGAATACATGTAAATGGGTTGTGCACCCTTAAAGGGACACTATAGTCACCAGGACAACTACAGCTTATTGAATTTGTTCTGGTGAGTAGAATCATTACCTTTAGGCTTTTTGCTGTAAACACTGTCTTTTCAGAGAAAATGCAGTGTTTACATTACAGCCTAGTGATAACTTCACTGGCCACTCCTTTGATGGCTGTTAGAGATCCTTCCTGGGTCATGGATGCCTAAAATGCATCCAAACATTTAGTGTCTCCTCCGTCTGCATGCAGACACTGAACTTTCCTTATAGAGATTTATTGATTCAATTCCTCTCTATGAGGAGATGCTGATTGGCCAGGGCTGTGTTTGAATTGTGCTGGCTCTGCCCCTGATTTGCCTCCTTGTCAGTCTCAGCCAATCCTATGGAGAAGCACTGTGATTGAATCAGGCCACCACTTCTGATGATGTCAGCAGACAGCTTGTTTTTCTGAGGCTGAGTCTAACAGTATGCAAAGCTACAGCTTCAGGCTTGAATACAAGTACAATTTTGCTATATTTAGGGAGGCATGAGGGGCCCAGGGGGGCTAGATGGTGGTTTTAACACTATAGGGTCAGGAATACATGTTTGTGTTCCTGACCATATAGTGTTCCTTTAAGTAAGTGCAAGTAATTGCAAAAGTGACTTTGATAGATCAGGGGTGTTTGACCTTTCTGAAAATACTCAGCCATCTATTGGAAGGATGAACATTTTAGGGTTTGTAGCCCAACCACTGCTGTACTACATTGATACCCCTATATTACAGACGATGGTCCTGGTTATGGTGCCTGGAATGTGCTGACACTGCCTCGCCATAACCTGCTGAACTGTTTTAGCTGCTTCCTGTTTTCTTGAGCTGTAGAAACCTGATGTGGATTTAGTGCAAGATAGGAAATTGTTTACTGGCTGATAGTGCTCAGCTTACAATCTCAGCCAATCAATGAGTACCATCTTGCACAAAATTGACATTGGCTACTATTGCTTTATTAAACCAGAATCAATATGGATACCCAAGTATCTAAGACTAAGTCTTCAGTCATGCTGAAATGGTTTGACAGGTTTTGGTGAGATGGTGCCAGGGAACTCCCGGAACAATAACCACAATAACCGGCTGCTTCAAGTGCTTTGAGTACCCTTTTAAACAATGTTTAGCTCAATTCTCCACATCAGTCAGCATGAGTTTAAGCTGCTCATTCAGCCTGCGATACAAAGATTGGAGTGAAATCCCTGCAACTCAGATTCAAACTTTGACAAAACCCAAGTGTGTCAATGGGGAGTCACGTTGAACAGATGAAACTAGTTTGGTTGTACAAAAAGGAACAGCAAACAGTAACAATCGTGGAAGCACATTTGACACATCACTCTTGGAAAAAGGCTAATAAAGATACCGTTATACCCAGGGACGGATCTTCAGCAACATATTGTGCCAAAAAACTCAACTACTATTACCCTCTGCCACTGCTTGCATGGCTGTGACTAATGGGAGTTGCAGATTAACAGCTATGGTGGTTTCACATTGTCAAACACCTTCTCTTCTCACCGAATTTGTTTTCTTGTATTTGCTGCATGAGAGCTCTGACTGTACATTCACTCTTATCACTCTCAGCCACATATATTTCCTCTATAAAGAGGACACTTTAAAAAACCAAGTCAGACGGCATCACATTTTGAAATCTCATAGAGTCTATAAACTGCGGGATAAGACTCCCCAATGTTCCTGTCGGCAATCCCTAACAGACAGTAATCTATTGTAAATGACTCATGTGGTTGTATAAAGTTTATGACTTACTTACTTTCTTTAATAGCCAATAAAAGTGGAATATATGAACTTCTTACGAATACGCATTATGCAATATGGTAACCTTCTTAAAAAATACTTGTCAAATGCAATGGGTGAAAAACGCTATACTAATCCCAGGGTGTGAGGATCAGGTATCAGATACTACATTTAAACCAGAGATTCCTAAATAAACCGCTCCTAATTGTAGCATGAGTATCTGGTTTATGAACAGCTCAAAAAATTATTTTAAAAATTGTGTCTGTGTGTCTCTCTGTCTATCATCTCATTCTTTATAAATCTCTAGCTTAACACATTGCACAATTGAAAAAAAACAACAACATTGTCTGTTAACCCCTTTGTGGTTTACAGACTTAATTTGGGATTAAGTGAACTGAAAAAAAAGAAAATTTAAGATTTTATGCCATAATATTCATGGATAAAAATCACTTAGTTACTTGTCCAGCTCAGTTCTGTACCATACAACTTGCACTTTCCTTGTCAGTTTTTCGCCAAAACCACTCTAGTGAATACACCGTTTCTTCCCATCAGATATTCTAAGAGGGCACTGATCACCCCCATAATATTTTTTTTTAATTGTGAGGTTTTCGAAAGTGCTTTACTCATCATTCATACCTTGGAGGACCTTCTCCAAGGATTAACTTCATAGTTTTGCTCTGTGTCATTCATTTGATTGAACAAAGACTGTCCATGTTTAAGACATGTCTTAACTACGACAGGAAACCAGGAATTCGAGAAAATTGACTAGGGAATTGCAAATTTTTGTTCAAAATAATGAAGAAAAAAATCCATCTGAACAATTCATCAGCTTGTCTGGTTAAGACTGAAATTTGCCATTCCCTTGTCAAATGATTAAAGTATATTCATATTTACAACTGTTTTCTTATTTATAACTTTTTATACTGTTATCACTATCTGATATGGTAATATTTTAGCTACTTAATATAAAACTTATACCTTCTCAATTCTTCAAAAAATAAAATCTGAAGTTTAAAAAATATAGTTCAGGCAACATCAGGTATAACTTTTAAATGTCATATATTTTTTCAATTTATATTAAATGAGGTTTTAAACTCTAGCAGTGTAAGCATATATGTATGTTAGGAGTTAAAAAGACATACGCTCAAAACTGATTTATAGCAATATACTTAGTATGTACAAAATAGTCATTTTAGAAGGATGCAGCAATTCAATAAAATAAATAATATACCCTGGTGTACATTGCATCACTATGTCCATGAGTGTGTTAAATCACAATACTGGTTTTAAGACAAAATGATATGTTCTCTGTAAATAGTGTTAACCCATTAATTGCATGTGGAATATGTAAAGCAAGTCGATTCATGGACCCCACAGCAGTCAATAGGTTAAAAACAATTTAAGAATCAACCAAAATGTTGACAGAGTGTAGCTATTTAAATATTAAAAACAATGCATTCAATGGTTTCCAATGCATTTAACTTCCCCATGGCACAGTCATTTAGTAGAACCGCAGAACGGTTACTCTGTACCTACTGGCACAGCAAGGGCATTCCATGTACCTGGTTTTGTACACACTCATTAACATGGGAAAGTTCTCCTGTACATGAAAATCTACAAGGATGATTTGCATAAATTGCACTTAGGTAGATTGAAAATAAAAGGTGTCAAACCTTTAAATACTCATTTTTCATTCTGCTTAGTCTAGTACCATGACTTCTAATGGTTAAAGAAAGCAGTTCATATCTATCCCTCAGTCCTGAAGAGATATCTATTGTTTCTTTGAGCACAGCTCTTGTGTGAATCATCATAGCGATAAAGTTATCGTTTAACCCCTTGATTTCATTTCTCTCATTGTCCTGGCTCTGTTGAAACTTAACTTCCAGCTCTGACAGAGACTTGTCTGAGTTGCTGAAGGATTCACTGATCTGAGAAGATTCCCTTCCTAGATACTTTCCATAGCTGTCTTCTCCATCAAGGTCATACGATATGCTCTTCCCGATGCTCTCAATAACCCTCTGTGCATCCTCAATTTGCCTTTTAATGATTATAAATTCATCCTTTAGTGAGAGAGGTGCGCCATCCCCATAAGCACAGGCCCTCTCATCTGTCACCTTGAATAACATCTGGCATTTTTCAGGGTCATCGTTCTCCTCATAGTCTCCATCGGGAACAAAGTAATGGTGGAGACTCCCATTGGACATTTCAGGGTAGAGAGGTCCATCATAGTAAGCATTGCACAGGCTGAAAAGAATCCCAAACCAGAAAAGGTTAAGTCCTGTCATCGTGAAACGAGATAGTCTTCAGTGTGTTCTGAACCTATAAAATGATCTCTCCTTCTCCTAAGTAATAAACCAGTCCAAAAATCCTTCTTGGCTGTTGGATCCACACTTTATATTCCACAAGCTGATGAGATTTGCATTATAGAGTGACAAATTGTCTTTCGGTACATCCAGGTGCTTGTGAGTCTGTAATGTGCAGGAACGGTCTGGATCAAGTCTTCCTAGCTGTGCAGACAAAATATTGTCTGCTTTCAATGTGGAAGAGAGACACTGGGAAGATGGAGAAGGGCTCATATGTAAACATATCAATCTGTTATGTCTTCTTTTGGAAGTAGCAGGAGGAACATAGCAAGTCTGTGCTGAGAGTGCTTGCTGTCTGTGTAGTGCTGTTTGCTACTGCACTGTGTCTACATCTGGACTGCTAATGCAGTGCTCTGCTTTCTGGCTAATGATATGCTTTAGAAGAGGTATCTGTTCTCAAATTACAGCTTGGTTTCGTCACTAAAGGAGCCAAGAAGCAGTTTTGGAAAAGAATCCTTTCAGTATGTCTCAGTTATTAAAGCTACATTAAGTCATTTTTCCCTTTCCTGTTGCGAGGATTCCAAAGATAAAGAATATAAAGAGCATTTCAATGACCACGGGCTGTTGACCTTTTTTGATGCATAAAAAAGGCTACCCAGTCTATGCAACATTTTTGCAATGAAAGAGTTACCAAGGAAGCACGTGGAGTGCCTATAAATAAACACACACCATTGGCTATTCCTGATTCCGAGATGGAATTTCAAAGTGTTATTCCAGTTGGGATAAAAAACAATATTTAGATTATGAGTGAATATCACCACGGAATTTTTTCCCTTAGCTGGAAGAGAATGCAGAGGAGCCTGGTGGCAGCAAGGCTTGTTAAAGTAATATTATCTTTCAGTTCTCTGGCACAAGTTTGAAACTTGATTAAATGCCAATTTAGATAGACAGGCTATTAATAAATCATAAATTACTACAGACACAAAACACACACAAAAAACATAACATCAATACAGTGCAGAGACTGGCCCCTAATAACATTGATTATCAACAAGCAACCAAACCCTGCAGGAAATCCTACGCAGAGACCGGACCCCTAATAACAGCATTAATTATCAACACCCAGAACTCACAAGAAACCAGCTCTGCAGAATCGCCTAAGCAGACTACCTTACTGCTCTTTCAAACCTCTACCCACCCCCCCTTCCCTCTCTTTCCCATCATTTGAAATTCATTTGATTCACCTCTTCAAACCCTTGTTTGCTAACATTGCCGTTATTGATCACCCCCCTGGCTCCCCTCTCCTCTTCCTTGACCACTTTGCTGCCTGGCTACCCTACTTCCTCTCTTCTAATATTCCATCCCTAATTTTTGGGGATTTCAGTATTCCCATTAAGCCACATTTGAACTCAGCAGCCTCTAAACTACTTTTAATTACTTCCTCCCTCAGACTATCGCAGTGGACTAATTCTCCCACCCATGTAGCAGGCAATACCCTTGACCTCATTTTCTCTTATGCATGTACAGTATTTAATATCTGCAACACTCCATTTTCTCTCTCTGATCACAATCTCTTATCGTTTGCTCTCAAGTACCCTCTCAGCCCAACCTCCCTCAACTCAGGAGGAGCCTTAATTCTATTGACCTCCATCAGCTGTCAGCTGATATTGATTCACAACTCCTATCCATTCCTTCCCTCTCCTGTCCCTCACTGGCCATCTCCACATGTAACACTACTCTCACCTCTGCCTTGAATGCTGCAGCTCCGCTCCTAACATGCACCTCAAGGAGGACATGCCCCCAACCGTGGCATACTAAATCAACACGTTACCTGCAAAGATGCTCCCGTTGTGCTGAACACTCCAGGAGGAAGTCTCACACCCAGACAATCTCCATTCTAGATTCATATTATATTCATACAGCGCAGCTCTTAAATCAAGACTTTCAATAGAAATCAGCTGTTAAATCAGACAGACACTCACACTGCACCCTAGCTCAAGGCTGAAGTGAGGGCTTCTTTTAGATGCTGTGGTAGGCAAGCTTTGGCACTCCAGATGTTGTGATCTACATCTTCCTTGATGCTTTGTCAGCATTATGGCTGTAGGAGCCTTATGGGAGATGATGTCCATAATATCTGGAGTGCAGAAGGTTTCCTACCCCTATCCTAGAGAGGTACTGGTTTTCAATACATATCTATGAGAAATGCAGTGGACACAGAATGGTGATTGACCTGTAGGTACCTCTCTCCCAATGCTTCTCTCTCTGAAACATTCAAGTCGCCTGGAGACTATCTCTAGTGCTGACCTACTGGGGGCAGAGCGGAAATGCAGCGGGGGATCCTTTCACCACTGGATTCCAGATAACATAGCTCTTCTTTTGGTGTAGTTAACACTGGGGTGTTTCTTTAAAAAATGTGTTTAATATCCAGCTCATAAAATAAAGGGGTGTTCATGAAAACCAAAATTAACAAACTGATTAAAACATTCATCCTTTATAGAAATATTGGGATGATAATTTAGAGAATCTTTAATGCTCAAGATTGGAACATAAGGAATTCACAGAAAATGTTTTTTAGGAATGTTAGCTTCTACAATAACCACCAGAGTGTTAAAGTTATATTTAAACATGGGAGCTATTGCAATGAGTGTTGTACTGTACTTATTGCGTTCTGTCTCTCCCTCCTTAGCTGATAAGAAGTTTGACTTTAAATTGTTGCTATATTGTCAATATAGTCGTAGATATCTTCAGCCTTGTGGCAATTATATTTTTAAATATGTGGTTCTTTTGGGGTCTTTTTGTGGCAAATCTTAAATTATCTATACAATAGAAACATTTGTTTTTCAAGAGCAAACATGACAACAAAGTCTTTGAAATTATAATTTGTTCTAAAGTTACATTTTATTTTAATATCTCAGTTCATATCCAGTTGTCCTGCAGAGATGAGGTCAATATATTCAGGGGACTATTATAGATATTATAGTATTATAGATACACGTTTGCTTCATGGCACAAGACATTGCTTGAGGTTGCGTGTGACAAAAGTCAGAAGTCAGAAGTTAGAACAATGAGCGCCATCTTTAACTCTGGTTTCAGAATACCAATATTGTCCTGCCTTTAGGTAATACAATAGTCAGAGCACTTTAGAGTAGTTTCCTTCCAGGTGTTTTCTTGACTGAGTCATAGATTATCTCAAATTGACTGCTTCACACAAACGTCAGTAAATTTATGAGGGAATTTAGTCTAGGATTTCAACTGAAAACGTATGGTATGTTAGTGTGAGGTCTTTGGGGATTTTTTTTTTAAAACCTCTATTGATCCAGTACACTGAGAACAGTCTCAGGAGAGTTCATACAAATTGTTGTCATGCTTTTTATAGTCTGAAACCCAAATGGAAGATCTTCATTCTCTGTGGTCTCAGCTGAAAGTTTTCTGATCATCACACACTTTCAATCGACAAATAGACAAAGAGAACCCAAGTAAAAATGAAAAATCAGTTTTTAATGTTAATTTTATTTATTTGAGGAAAAACTTTATCCAACAGCAACTGACCCTATGTGTAAAGTAATTGCTCCAGCGTTGGCTGGTGAACTTTCAAGATGGTGGGAAACTAGGCTCTACCACTGGAATGAGATTCCACCCCCTGACTTAATGGGCCTACTTAATCCCATGTGCTAAACTCCTGAACCAGAGACGTCTAGTTAGAAAACAAACACTTTTAAGAGATCCAGCTTCATTCCCAAAGCTGTTATTTAATGACAACAATAGAAGACAAATAGGGCAAAAAACGTGGTGATTTTTTTCTCCAAAATGTTTACATGGTTAACTGCTCCATCTCTCGGCATCATATCTAGCTATGTATAAAGGGGAAGGAGGGGAGGAGGAAAGACAGTGCAAAACTAATGATAACAGACAAAACATCAGAGATCTGTAATCTATTCATATTTTTTAAATAGTTCTAAAAAGTCTGCCTAAATTAAACCCTTTTCACAGAATTATCACTTGCAGAAAAAAATCATGAAGTGTAAAGTGGCAGAAAAAAGTGATGGAAAGATTGAGAACTACCTTTTATCTCAGTAGAAGGGCATACATTCAAAAAGGACAGTTACAGTTCAAAAGAAGCAACAGGTGAAAAAAGTGACAGATTTAATAAATTGCACCAAAAAAGAGGAAAAAAACAACTCCAAAAGGTTTGATAATTATTTTTATTACAACAAAAACTGTAGGAAAGCTGCTCCACACCTGTGGACCAGGCACTCCTGTGGAACTGCCCATCTGAACTTATCTTGTGCCAACTACAACAGCAACAACTGCAACCAAGTGCTTTCTATAATTGGAAGTGTGTGCATATGGGTCTGTATGTGTATCTGTGTGTCTGTATGTGTATCTGTGTGTTTGTATGTGTGTATGTGTGTCTGGATGTGAATATGTGTCTGTATGTGCATCTGTAGGTAAAAATGTGTGTCTGTATGTATATCTGTGTATCTGTAAGTGAATATATGTGTCTGTGTGTCTGCATGTATATCTGTTTGTCTGCATGTGTGTCTGTATGTCTTTATGTGTGTCTGTGTATCTGTACATATATCTTTGTATCTGGTTATCAGTAAATCTGTATGTGTATCTATCTGTGTGTCTATGTGTGTATCTCCATGTCTGCATGTGTGCCTGCATGTTTATCTGCCTGTGTGTATGTGTATCTGTGTGTCAGTTTATCTATTTGTGTGTCAGTGCATCTGCATCAATGTCTGTATGTGTGTCTGTGTATCTGTGTGTCTTTGTATCTGCATGTATCTGTATGTGTGTCTGTATATCTATCTGTGTGTCTGTATGTGTGTCTGTGTATCTGCATACTTCTGTATATCTGTTTATATGTATATCAGTGTGTCAGTGTATCTATTTGTTTGTCTGCATGTGTATATCTGTATCTGTATTTGTACATTGAGGAGAGAGAAGGATGCCTTATGTATTTTTCCTATGCTTGACCTTCTTTGACCAAAGGAGGAGCCTCATTCTGCTAAAAGACCTATTGCCTCTCTCCTCGGAGATGAATTGGGGGACCTAATGTCTCCCTCCTGGCGCTCACCCATGTGCCGCTGGTAGGGGCCTTAAGTGATAATGGAAGGTACCTACTGTCTCCCCCCCGCCCCAGCCACCACCCATGAGTGGTGGGTTGTGGCCTTAAGTGATAAAGTAATAATGTTTTTGCAAGGCATGTGCTCTGGCCAATTGCCTAACTCTAACGTTTAGCTCCACACAGCTAAACAAACCAGGAAGTATCAGGACCGGTTTTATGATTGTCAGCCAGGGGGTGTAGCAAAGTTTATTTACAAAAGTGCCAATTTCTATTAAAAAATGTAAACACTCTTCACACAGAAAGCACAAACTCAAGTGCTTTAAGGTCTGGAGTGTTTCTTTAATTGTGTTTCTTTGGAGCCATTCAGAGGTGGACATGCTTTTATCTTATGTAAGTGTCTGGCGGTTTTGTGACATCCTAGTAGCTTCTGCACCCTTGAATGATTTTTGCTAGACCAACCACTACTGAAAAGATTAATCTCTGTTCTCCAAAGTTTTCTCCATTTGTTGATAATGGCTTCCACTGTAGTTCACCGGAATCCAGAAGCATCAGAAATGGCTTTGTAACCCTTTCCTGATTTATAAATCA